ACTGTGGTAGGTTGAATAAAATTGTGTGTACTCCCGTTGTCGATCAGGACGTGTGTCGCCATATCCCCAATTGTACCCCAGAGCTGCAATGACCTTGGGTTACCAGGGCCAGCGAGTGAATTGAGTATGGAGATGTCGACTGTTTCCTCCACTTCATCAGTCTCCGAATCCAAGCGGTGCCCTGCTTCATCATTGTCGTCATCTTCATTGGACATCATCAGCAAAAATCAACCAGGGCATTTGTGTCCCTTGACCCATTGGTTGTCGCAATTAAAATAGAGACCTTTACTGAGTCGCTCTTGTCGTTCTGCCGGGGTAATCCATTTGATGGGTAGGGAATTGGTGGGTTTATGGACTGACATTGTCCCGGTTGGGTTTAATTTTGGTGTGGTCGGGGCTGGTAGCAAGGCCGACGAGGTGGAATTGGTTTTATTGACTGTGGGTCGGCTCATGATTGGGCTAAACGACGTGTTGGTCCAGTTAGGGTTAGCGGTGGGTTTTGTTGGCGTGGGTTGTGACCATTGATCTTCAAATCGGGCTTCAGAGATGCGGGCAAGTGCAAAAGCTTCGACCAAGGTGGGAGGTTTAGCAACGAGGAGCTCACGTTGTAGAATCGGCTTAAGGCCAAAGGTATAGAAGGAGATAAGCAAGCCTTCACTGATGTTGTTGACGCGATTCATCAATTTCTCGAAATCGGCCTGGTATTGAGCCCCAGTGCCAGTTTGGAGTAATTTAGAGAGAGCGCCTTGGGGGTCTTCGAATTTGGATGGACCAAAACGGGTGCGAACGTTATCCACAAAATTGTCCCAAGTGGAGAGCAACTCATTCCTAGTCATGTAGCGGAACCATTCAGATGCTTCACCTTCTAGGTTAAACCCAATGATGCGAAGGCGTTGGTCGGCTGCGGTGTTGTGTAGATCGAAGTACTCAGTGATGGAGAAAAGCCAACTTTCTGGATCTGTCCCATTGAACTTGGGTACATCCAATTTCATAGAGTGTGGAATGTTGGGCCCGAAGTCACCCCCACTGGTGGATCCTTTAGTCCCGAACCGGTTCTTAGCGGCTTTGAGTTCTTTGGTTAAGGTGTCAAGTTGTGTGTGAAAGGAATCGGCTTGCTCCTTGAGAAAGGCTCGGACTGCCTGTTCATCCATTCTCTCAATGAAAGCACCAATTGATACACCTTGATAGTGTATCAAAGTTGTGCCCTTCGAGTGAGCACGTACTCCACACAGAAAATAAGAAAAGAGAAGAAGAATTGCCAAAATCAAGTCTGCGTGGCTTGTGATTCTAATTAGCTTAAATAATCACCAAAACATAATCCAAATAAGAATTCAAAACAAGTACTTATCCACTACTTATCCACTTATTCAAACTAACTTCTAAGCTACCAGATATAATCAAAACAAAAGAAACTAAATGTGGATTCTTCCAAGTCACGTGACATTATCACTCCATGTGATAATCCTTCTGCCAAACAGGTTTGACCACCAACCGATTCGACCTTCTCGGCTCCAAGTCTCCAGCTGTCGACTTTCTTGACTCCATGTCTCCAGTTGTATCACTTTCTGGGACTTGGCCTATGATTTTTAGATTTTTAGCAAGATTTAAAGCTTTTAACTTTTTGGCAAGATGCAAGATTATCAGGAATTATACCCGAAAACCTATTAGAACCCAGATCAAGTAAGGTAAGATTAACCATGGCAGAGCAGTTAAAACTGATTTTACCCATAGTTACAGGATTCGCTCAAAAGGTTGCGTACCACGTTTTGAACATTTCGTACCCAAACGTGGTACAGAATCGATCCCTATCGTGGCCGAAACGGTCTCCGGTACGGCACAGTGATGATCGAATCAAGCATCCGATACGATGACAGGAACGCGATTCAATCGACGTGGATTGCTCAGATTCCCATTTCTTGTGCTCTGATTCGTGTTTCTGGTACGCCGATTTGGCTATTTGGTATGCCGATTTGGCTATTGGGTCGCTGAATTGGCGATTAGGCGGGAACTGTAATGTCGATTCCAAAAAGCAACGATTCACCAAAACGGACGCTTCGACTCTTGTTCTGCTTCCTCGATACCAGGCTCTATTACCTTATTAATTCAGACCCTTCTCACCATAAACTTCATCTTCTTCAATTACATGATTCTTGCAGTAATCAATTTTCTAATTGCCTTCCAATAATTAATTTCCAATTTCTATTTCTGCTTCTCTTCTACTCTTCTACTACTATTCTGTTCTTGAATTTGAGAATGGTTTTTGGCACTAGTATTAATCTATCAGAGAATGAAACAGAAACACCAGAAAATTTTGTTGACATTGGTGAGGACGACATACCAGTAGGTGCATCTGCATAAGGAAGTAAAAAAATGATAAAGAAGCTGGAAAACCTCTTCTGGAAGAAGTGACTATGGTTGGTTCAGGTACTAGTAAGAATGCTGGTGGATCAAAGTAGTGGATTTGTAACCATTGCAAAGTGAAATATACAAGCTCATACACGAGGATTCATACTTATTTCTTTGGTGCTCAAGCTGGGAAGACCGGCAAAAATTAGATGTCCGGCTATGATTAAAGATCCGCTCAAGCTACAACGACTTTCGATCAAGGTGAAAGAAGCTGAGAGCGGAGGTGTGTCAAGAACTTTAAAAAATTCAATCCTTTCAAAAAATTCAGCATAAAAAACGACTTGAGGAAGCTTTTGGTGTCATGGAACGCAATATGGTGGACTTGAAAATCATGAGAGGCTTATGTGCTAATGGTATCCCATTCAATGTCTTGCGGAATCCTCAATTCATTGAAATGATACAAGCCATCAAGAAGTCACTGGATGGATATAAACCTCCATCTAGTGAAAAGGCAAGAACCGTCTTGCTAGATGAGTGTGTGAGAGATATTGATAAAAAACTAATACAAATGAAAGATACTTGGTACACTCAAGGTGTTTTTATTATTTTAGATGGGTGGTCTAATGTCAAACATAAGCCACTTCTAAATGTTGTTGTCGTCAATGCTCGTGGTGCGGTGTTTATGTATGTGGAAGATTATTCGGGGGTTGAGAAAACGGGAATGGCGATTTCCAAGTTTCTAAGAGGAGCAATTGAAGCCGTTGGTCCAAGTAATGTCTTACAAGTGGTGATGGACAACGCGGCTAATTACAAAGCTGCCAGACGCGAGATCGAAAAGGTATTCAAACATATCTTTTGGTCACCTTGTTGTGTTCATAGTTTAAACTTGATTTTTAAAGATATGGCACAAGAATTTTTATTGGATGAGTTATACCTATAAGAGGGGAAAAGCAATTGTGAAATACTTTATTAACCACACTCATGCCTTGTCGATGTTTCGTGAAAATTCAAAGCTAGATTTATTGAAGGTGGCTAAAACTCGGTTTGTTTCACACTATATTCTTTTAAAGAGAATTATGGAGTGTATGGAGGCTCTTGCCACAACTATAGTCCTTAATTCTTGGAGGGATTGGGTTAAATCTGGGGATGAAAAATACAAGAATTAATGGGGCAAAGGTATGTGATACAATTAAAGATGATTTGTTTTGGGATGATGTTGAAAGCGTTTTGGCTATCACTAAACCTATTTTTGTTCTTATAAAGTTTTGTGACGGTGAAGGCCCTAAAATGGGTGAGATTTATGAGAGGATGGATAATATGATGGGGGAAATCAAAGACATAATGCAAGAAAGTACTTATGCTAGTTATTACCAACAAGTGGAGAAGATAAGTTTAATTAGGTGGGAGAAGATGAATATCCCACTACATTGTTTGGGGTTTGCATTAAACCCACGATTTTATGATAGGCGATATCTTCAAAAAATGGCACCCGGTGGTATGCAAAGGAAACCACCAAATATAGACAAAGAGGTTATGCAAGGTGTCATGGAATCCTTCAATAGATTTTCTAAAAATGAAGAGGAGGGACGATTGTTACGAGAGTAATTCATAACATTCCATATGAAGAAAGGTATCTACTCTATGGCGGAAACACAAACGGACGCTTTGACAATGGATCCAATAGATTGGTGGTCAACCTATGGAGTCGAAACCCCGATTTGGCCTTGGTAGCAAAGAAGGTACTTTCACAACCTATTAGTAGCTCTTCCGTGGAAAGGAATTGGAGTACGTATTCTTATATTCATAATGTGAAAAGAAACCGGTTGAATGAAAAAAGAGCCGATAAATTGGTTTACATTCACTCCAACATTCGACTCCTATCTCGTTTCCATGAATCATACAAATCCGGCCCACACAAAATGTGGGACATCAATCCCGAAAGCACTTACATTGAAGGGTCGAGTTCACGATTAGATGACATGGTTTGGGAGAATTTAGATGAAGAAAATTTGGAGAATGGAAAAGGAAAAAAGCAGCGGGTTGATTGACATGTTACATTTCTGTTTTTGTTTGTTTACTCTTCCTGGTTCTGTTTTTAAGATACTAGAAAACTTCTATTTTTAAGATACTAGAAAACTGTTCCTGTTTTGATTTCCAGCATGTAATCTGTTTCGATTTCCAGCATGTAATCTTTATAATATGTGTATTTTGGTATTAGGAATTATGGAATCATGAAAAATATTGTTGGGAATTGAGTTTATAAAAATATATTGCTGGAATTCTGTTTCTAAATGAAATATATTTGCTGGAATTCTGCTTCTAAATGAAATATGTTGCTGAAAATTATGTTTATATAAGTAAATTATTGCTAAATATGTGTTCTAAAAACAGGTACATTGTATCGGGACCAATGGTACACCGTACCGGACACGTACCGAAATGAACCTACCCCCCTCGCACCCGATACGCCCAATCTCATGAATCCCGTTCCCGTTCCCTGTTCCCGTACCGGACCGGACCGTAACACGAACTATGTGACATTGATTTTCCATCCAAAGAATTGTTTCTCAAGCTGAGGGAAGAAACGGAGTGTGAATTTGACAATGATGGAGGTATCCCACCAAACAGATTGTTGGAATGAGCTGAGAAATAACTTAAATTCGGAAAGCTATGGAAGAAATCGGGTATATTTCCTGAGAGGCTGTTAGATGAGATATCCAAATGAACCAGATGAGTAGAGAAATTACCAATTCCGCCAATGGCAGTGAACATGTTGTCCTGGAGTGCCAATTCCTGCAAGTTAGGTAGCCTAAATAAGAAGTCTGGCATGATACCTGATATAGAATTGCAAGCCACGTCCAGATGTTGAAGAAAAGTGCAATTTCGGAATTGGGGTGGAATAGTTTCATTGAAGTAATTCAAAGCAAATCTAAGAAGTCGAATTCTGGTGGAGTTAACACATAAATCGGATGGAAGGAAACCCCTTAACACATTATCAGAGAGGTCTAATACTTGAAGTGCAGGCAGGTTTATGTGAACTGGCAAAACCCTATTGAATTTATTACTACTCAAATCAGCTACTTCCAAATTGGCGAGATGAAAATGGGATACTGGAAGAGGACCTCTAAGGAAATTTTGTGAAAGATTGAGGGTTCTAAGCTGATCTAAATTAGAAAATGAATCAGAGAAATTACCAGTTAATCTTTCCTTTGGGAGTTCGATTTTTACAATCCTACCGGAAGAGGAATTACATGTGATGCCTAGCCAGTTGCAGCAATTGGAAGAGGATAAAGATGGTGAATTTGTAAGCCACCACCCATGAAATTGGCGATTGCAATCCACTCATGAAACCCTTTAATCCCCTCAGTTCATCAGAATTGCATGTCAGATTCTGCGAAATTACAAGACCTTGAGTTTGAAGAGAAACCACAAGAATTATGACAAGTGCCTATATTTCGAATACAACGACCATCTAGGATTATATAGGCTGAAATACACAAAACCAAATAAGAACAAGAACACTAACAAGATTAAAAGTTGTGAAATTTTAGAGTTGAGAGAGAAACCCCATTTGAGAAAAGGAGATTTCTTGACATGGGTTTACAAGATCCATTGTGTTTTCCACTTGGGTTTGCATCACATACCAAGTATGATGGAAAAAGAAGAAATGGGTGAATCAAAAAATGGGAAAATTTATAGAACAAGGGTTTTAACTTCGCCTTCTTTTTCCAGAGTAAGACAAAGGAGATTTTAAAGAACACGGATGAATCGGAGAGAAGTGGTTTGTTTAAGGATTCTACTATGTGTCTCTTTTCCAGAAATAACACAAATAAGTCAACGTTTACTAAACTGGAAAATTGTGATGTTCGTACTGATATGATCCAAACTGTACCATCAAGGTATCCACAAGAAAAGTGGACTTTATTGCCAGGTCACATTCCTATTAAATATTAGTTTTTGACAAATGTAGGGGTGATAAATCGTGCTATCGTTTCGTGTTTCTATCTGACACGACACGATACGATAAAGTTTTATGTAACACGAACACAACACGACACGATGTCGAGTTTTTTTTAACTAACACAAAAACGAACGAATTAAAAAACGACAAACACGAAACGACACAAAAAATATAACATATACTAAAAACTAGTTTATTTAATGAATACTTTATCAAATATAACACAACTAACACGAAAAACACGATAAAGAACTGCTAAATCGTGTCAATTTCGTGTCAAATTTTGAACACGACACGACACGACATCGTGTTTTTTACAGTTAACACGAACACGAATTCAAATTTCAGTTTCGTCCCAATTTCATTTCGTGTCGTGTATTTTTGTCGTGTCGTGTCATAAATTGTCACCCCTAGACAAAAGTGCAAAAATATCCATGTGAATTATGAGAATTATTATTTTGGTTTAAAAAAATTTAGACTAACATGGGTTTTGGTTTTTATTATGGTTTTGGTCCATTTCAAAATTCAAAATAATTAAAATAATATTTTTCCCTTTTTATTTATTTTTCTCTTTTATTTTATTTACTCCATTATTTTTTAATTAAAAACAATATATATATATATATATATATATATATATATATATATATATATAGAGAGAGAGAGAGAAAGAGAGAGAGAGAGGTTCAGGTATATTGTGTTATTGTATGCATAAATGTGGACCAATCAAAATTAAATAAAAATTTAAATAATTAAATAAATAAACAAGGGTATTTTAGTAATTTGATAAATAGCTTCCACAAATAGTCCCTGTAATCATGCTAGAATTAACTTTTAACCTAATTTATTTTCTTATATACATAGCCGCCGATCAATACCATCACCCACCACCAAGCTACCATCGCCCCCATATGATCGACTAAAGTAGGAACGAGAGAATGACCGACATAGAAGAAGACTTTGGTAAACACCACTAGATTCTTAGGGATTGATGTTGTGATTCTGGCAATCGTTTTTCACTCCTCCGCCGAGAGTGTAATGTCGGGAGAGTTAATCGACGATTGGTTCCCGATAATTGGTCATAGTGGTAAACCGGCAAACCCTAACACCGCAATACGATTACGGATCAAATTCACATCTTGTGATGATCGGAACAAGGAAAAATCAATTGCTACCGATGAGTTATTTGGCCTGAAGGATAGTTATTTTCCGGTGAGACACGAGGGGAATGCGACGTATCAGGACGCGCACCTCCAGGAGGGGCAGTTACCGGAGATCGAATTGGACGGAGAGAATCAAAACGGTATGAATTTCATCTCAAATCCTTTGTCTAACATCTGTTTTTAATTCATCTTCATTGTTTCTCTTTTATCTCGACTTCTAAATGCTACCATTCCCAAACTCTAAAGATTTCTGAAAGTTCCAAAATGATATACACAGGTGGTTGGGACCCTTTACACCCATCATCAAAAATGTGTTATAATGGACACACAAGCCCATGGAAATTACAAAAAGATCTCTGCTTTTATTTGTGGTTTGGACATCTGTGATGGACGCTATGACACACCAGAACATCGTTTATTTCGTGATCATGATACAGTGTTTGAAAATGACTACCATGATCCAACACTTCCTGTAAGTTTATATACTACTGTATTATTTTATATAAATTCATACATGTTACCTTATTTAATGGACAAATTATCCACAATAGCCAGGTATAAAAGGTCCAAGAGAACCCTGGAGTATAATTCTGTTGGAAGGTTCTTGATTTATGTACATGCTAAAGGAATCACGAATTCCAATTCTGTTGGAATGGAATCATGAATTATAATTCTATTGGAATGGAGTATGCATGTTCTACAATTCTTCGTTATTGGTTTTGGTGCAATTCACAAGTCCACATATTTTTCCAAATGAATTTAGTTTTTTATTTTTCATTTGCTAATGCATTATTGGAATCTAAACTACAATTTGGTTTTGTTTTCACAGAAGTTGATGCTTGAAGAACGGACCACAAAATTGAAAGTGATTCTAAGCAACATTATTCTTTTAGAATGTATTAATTCTTAACAATTGTTACTCGTATTCTATAAGAAATTATGTATTTATTGTTTTTATTCTTCAATTGATTGTTCAAGAATTTGTTATTCTACAAAAAGTTTTTAAAGTCATGATCAAGAAATAGGTTCAAGAATATTTTTATTATTTATGGTTCAAGAATATTTTTATTTTTGAATATACTCATATACATATTGTGTCAGAATGTCCGAATTAAAAGAATTATAATTCGTAAAATCGGATTTTTAAAATTAATAGATATGATCCCTTAAAATATGCAATTTTCCTTTATTAAATCTATATTAATTGACTAAAATACCCTTGTAATTAAATTAGATGATATTTTTCAATTATATTTAATTCAATAATATATATTAATCACTTTCTTAAAATAAGTAAAATTGATTTGCCCACATTTATGCATACAATAACACAATAATTACTTTGAATAGAATAACCTAAGCCTATATATATATATATATATATATATATATATATATATATATATATATATATATAGAGAGAGAGAGAGAGAGAGAGAGATAGAGAGAGAGAGAGCTATGTTCAGGTATTCAAAGTAATTATTGTGTTATTGTATGAATAAATGTAGGCCAATCATTTCAAAAGGGTAAATATGTAATCTTACATTTAATTAATTATGGTAAATATATAAATCAATTAATATCCCTTTAATTTAGGAATATCAGTTTTAAAACCCAATTTCTAGTATATATCCTCACGTCCGCCTTTTCCCTCTTCTCTTCTATTCATCGTCGATTTCGTAGACTCTTGCTGTGATCTCGCCGTCATCTTACCTCGTGTCATCATCGTATCTAGAGGAAGCCTTCGCAAGAACAAGTTCGTTGATTTTGTAGGTACGTATTAATTAATTTCTTTGCTAATCGATCCCAGCTGAATCACGATAAATTCGGATCTTTTTCTTTATGAATGTGGTTGTGCTTTTGATTAATTACTTTCACTCTTTTCATCTATTTATCATAAATGATAAATTTATCGTTTTTTATGAACAAAACGACGGAATCATGTCGATAAAACGATAATTAATTGTGATAGATGTTTTCTTTTAATTATCAGGCGAATATCATCTAGATCTTATAATCGGATATGGAGTTGTTCCCGTGATTGTACCCCGGGTAGCGGGTGTTCATACGCTGTTGCACAGTTCGGACCTACCCTCATCCTCACTCCGATCGTCGGTCTTCTCCTCTGATGGCGGACCAGGTTTTTTTTGGGAAAGATTCCCCTGAACTCGTCAAACAGGTTTCTTCCTTCTGCTTCTTATTTTGACTGGTTTACTGTAAACCAATGAAGTTTAATTTGATTTGATTTCAATATATAGAATGGATGTTTGGGTTGATTGTTTGACAGAAATCAAAGAAATTTTGGATGTGTTTAGGTTTATTGTCTAATTCTTTCAAGGTGTAATATTTTTGGTGAATTGGGAATTTGTTCTGACTGTCTAATTTTTACAGGAAATTGAAAGTTGTTTTGATGCACACCAAGCGCTCGCTAAAATGCTTCAACTGAATGGTAATTCTTAGTTATAATATTCTATCAGAAAAGAATGTTTTTTATGATAATCATGAACATATTCTGTTAGAATGTCCAGAATTAATATAATCATTGGTAAATGAATTCCAATTCTATCAGAATGGAATCACGAATTTCAGTTATGTTGGAATGGAATATGAATATTTTCTCACTAATTTATTCATTGGATTTGTTTCCACAGAAGCTGATGCTTGAAGAACGGACCACAAAATTTGAACGACGCCTCTTAGCAACATTATTCTTTTAGAATGAATTAGTGTATTTGTTAGATTTTGATGTTTTTTTTCCCGATTTGAAAGTTTTTTAGTTTTATTCTTTAACAATAAATGTAATTCTTAGCAATTGTTACATTTATTTTATAAGAATTAATGTAATTTTTGTTTTAATTCTTCAATTGCTGGTTCGAGAATTTGTTATTCTACAAGAATTTTTTAAAGTCATGATCAAGAAATATGTTCAATAATATTTTTATTATTTTATGGTTCTAGAATATTTTTATTTTTGAACATACTCAAACATATTCTGTCAGAATGTCCGAATTAAAAACCTTATAATTCGTAAAATCGGATTTTTAAAATTAATAGAATATATGATCCCTTAAAATATGCAAATTTCCTTTATTAAATCTATATTAATTGACGAAAATACCCTTCTAGTTAAATTAGATGATATTTTTCAATTATATTTAATTCAATAATATGTATTAATCATTTTCTTAAAATAAGTAAAATGATTGGCCCACATTTATGCAT